GACGACGGCGCCGACGCGCCCGAAGGCGGAGATTCGACACGACGGGCGGCTGGCCTCCTCGCTCGGCCAGGGCGGCACCCCCGCCGCCAGCGCCGCGGCGGCGGCGCCCGCGGCGGCGCCCTTGGCGGCGCCCGCGGCCGGGCCCGCTCCTGCGGCGGCGGGCCGTCGCCGCCGCCGCCGCCCTGGAGATCCGACGCTCCTCCTCCCCCTCCTCCCCTCCTCCTCCTCCTCCTCTCCTCCTCCTCCTCCTGCCCCCTCCTCCTCCTCCTACTCTCTCCTGCCCCTCCTCCTCCTCCTCCTCCTCCTGCCCCTCCTCCTCCCCCCCCTTTCCTCCTCCTCCTCCTCTCCTCCTCCTCCTCCTCCTCCTCCTCCTCCTCCCCCTCCTCCTCCCCCTGCTCCCCCCTCCTCCTCCTCCTCCAGCTCCTCCAGCTCCTCCTCCTCGTCCTCCTCCTCTCCTCCTCCTCCTCCTCCTCCTCCTCCTCCGTTTCTCCTCCTCCTCCCTCCTCCTCCTCCTCCTCCTCCTCCTCCTCCTCCTCCTCCTCCTCCTCCTCCTCCTCCTCCTCCTCCCATTCCTCCCGTGGAGATCCGACCCGCGGTTTCTGGGTCGTTCTCGGCCTCCAGGGCCCTCGCTGGACCTCTGGGGCCCATGCCTCGGAAAAACTAGATGTCCAGGTCGTCGGTCGTCGGTCGTCGTCGTCGCCGTCGTCGTCGGCGTCGTCGTCGTCGTCGTCGGCGTCGTCGTCGTCGTCGTCGTCGGCGTCGGCGTCGGCGTCGGCGTCGGCGTCGGCGTCGTCGTCGTCGTCGGCGTCGGCGTCGGCGTCGGCGTCGGCGTCGTCGTCGTCGTCGTCGTCGTCCGTCGTCGTCGTCGTCGTCGTCGATTCGATTCGCGGGGCCATGAAGGCAACTCCAGGCGAGCCTACTCGCCCGAGCCCTCGCCGACGGGCCTCAGGCCGCGGCCGCGCCGCGGGCGGACGCGGCGGTCCTCCGCGGCGGAGTTGGCGGCCAGCACCCGCTCGGCGAGGTCCTGCCCGTCCAGGCCGTACGCGGCCAGCAAGGCGGCCCGCGGGCTGCCCGCCACCACCTGCTGCACTGGTGCCGCCGGCCGCGCCGTAGCCTCCTGCTCGCGGCCGCCTGCGCCTCCAGACGCTGCCGCCGAGCTGCCTCCCGCTGGCGGCGGGCCCGCTTCGCCCACGAGGCCCAGCCAGGCCAGGAAGGCCTCCTGGGCCGATGGGGGCAGGGGGCCCTGCAGCCGCAGCGCGGGGATCTCGGCACCTTTCTCCCTGCGCTGCTGGTCTCCTCCGCGAGGCCGTCCGCCTGGATGCAGCCCTCGAGCCCAGAGGCGGCGCTGGCTGCGCTGCCCAGTGGCCCTCTCGCCGACGCATGGCTCCTTGAGCTTTGGGCGGCCTCCAGAGCGGCCGCCGAGGACCATGTAGGCCCCACACCTGCTGCATGCCACCAGCTCCTGGGGCTCCTCGCCCACGTCGCAGCACGCGTACGCCAGGGAGTGGCCGAGGTAGCAGATGCCAGCCGTGGTGATGGAGAGGCCAACAGCGCTGGCCACCGAGCGCACGCTCTCCACGCGCGGCTGCTGAGCCGTCGGCCTGCCTGCAGTGGGAAGCTCGGCTCGCTCCTCATGGTCGGCGAACCTCACCCGCTGCCTCTCGTCGGACTCGAGGAACCCGTCACTGTCCTTCTCCGCGATGTCCTGCCAGATGACGGCCGCATGGCCCACCCAGCGGGCCAGCTCCTGGACGAAACCCGCCAGGGCACGGTGCTCGCTCACGGTCTGGGCGTCAACGGCGCGCAGCCGAGCTCCCAGCTTGGCGAGGCGGTCGGCGTGCTGGTTGCCGCGCCTCTGCGCCTCCGTGAGGCGCCCGTCGAGCACTGCCTGCCAGCTGCAGTGGGCGGGCACCTTGTTCACCCTGAAGCTGCCAGGCTCGAAGGCGGTGAGGCTCCTGCTCCAGAGGTGGGCGTTGACCTTCGTCGGGCCCGTCGCATAGGCCAGCCCCCTGCGCAGGCACTCGACCGTGCCATTGCAGTCGATGTTGACCTCCTCGACTGCAGGGCCCGCGTAGTTCGCCAACATCCAGACCGCAAAGTCCTCACCGTCGCGGGCGGTCTGCTGCGGGCAGAGGTCCCTCCTGACGGTCCCGTAGACGCCCGCGATGAGGTTGCCGTCGTCGTCGCACTGAGCAATCGCCCAGCCCGCGCGTCTCAGGGAGCCGAACTGCGGGTCGACTGCCGAGCCGTCCAAGTACAACTTGCCATTGAGCCTGTCGTCGGGAGGCCTGCGTATCCACCAGACACTCATGGCGTCCGTGCGAGGCCCTTGAGGAGGCGGCGGCGCTGGCAGCCAGCACCTACCGAAGTCCTCCCCTGCTGCCTCTCCCTGGGCGCGGACCCGCACAGCGCTCCTCATCAGCGCTGGTGAGACCGAATCCCGCCGCTGGGCCGCAAGCATGGGGCACTCGAACAACCTGTGCCAGAGGGTGCCCCGAGCAGCTCCGCAGCACCTGCAGCTGGCGTGGCTGCTCTCGCGGGCGCTGCAGAGCCTCGCCTGCGGCCAGTGCGCGTTCGTGAGGTAAGCCACCAGCCCGTTCCTCTCGCGCTCGTTGAACTTGCCTCTTGGCCCGATGAGCTCCCTGAAGGCGTCCCAGAAAAGAGAGCCCTGCACAGACGAGGAGTAGGCCAGCTTCAGCATCTCATGCCTGTCCGAGGCGCGCCTCGCTCCAAGGCCGGCCTCAATGCCGAGCTCGCGCGGCCCCGGCAACGTCAAGTCCAGCTCGTCCCCGACGTCCGTGATGAGGCACCGCTCGGACCTGAAGCACCAGCCGATCCTGCCAAGGGTGAGGACCGCTGCATCCACGGGGGAGCTGCAGTGCACCCAAGGCGCCGTCGCTGATGCCGCGACGCCGCAGCCTCGAGCTCGGCCCTGAGCATCGGCAGGGAGAGCTCGCCCGAGTGCAAGAGCCCTGCCAGCATCTGGAGCGAGCGATCCGTGATCAGCACGAAGGGATCCAGGTCGCGGCCCCTGCGGAGCTCCGCGCGCCGCAGCCTGAGGCCGAGGGCTGCGCCGCGGGGAAGCCGCCCAGCAGTGACGCGCCAGCTGTGCAACTCTCCATCGGCCACGCCAGTAACCGTCCGTCCCCAAACCATACTGGAAGTAGGCCCAGCCTTGTGGATCAGGTCCACTTCGACTCCTGCAGCTCGTAGGCAACGCAGGCGCCGCGCCCGCTGGAGCGCATCCCGCGCCCGCCCTCGCCCTTCACGGACTCCTCTCATCGTGATACTCGCATCGGTGCCCAGGTTACGGGCTTGATGCACCCTCTCGAACTTAATGCCGTGCGCCTTCCAGTACTCGCCCAGCTCCTGGGCGAGGCCAGAGCAGGACGCAAGGTAAACGGACTTCTTGGCGCTGAGCGGGAGGTGCAAGTCCCCAAGCTGTCGGGCCATCTCAGCTCCCGCGCCTCCTAGCTGCTCCACGACAAGGCGGCGTGTCCCCAGCGCCTGAAGGGCCACGTCGTCGACGACGTTCCTGCCAATGACGAGCAGGCGGCCTCCTGAGGACACGGCCCGAAGGGGTCCGAGGAGCGGAAGCTTGGCCAGCGTAGTAGCACACGCACAGCCCGCGAGGACGGTGCCTTGGGAGCAGAAGCCGTCGGAGACCAGGCCCGCGAAACAGATGAAGCGAGGGGCTTGATACATGGCCAAAAGCCCTCTCAGCAACCGAAGATTGAAATTGTGCTCGATGGCGCAGCTCCAGAGCACGTCGTGCCGCAGATTCTCGTAGGACTTCACGATGTCCAGGAAGAGGCTGCCAGCCTCGAAGCCGGCGTGGCGGGCCGCCGAAGAAAGCAGGTTGTGCATCCAGCCCGCCTTCTCACAGCCCTTGCCCTCCCTGCCCCAGAAGAAGTGGAAGTTGTGGGTGGACTCCCACTGCGCGCACACGGGCTGCCGAACACGGCTCCAGACTCGGAGGAGAAGCGGGATAAGGGCGATGGGGCGGACGCCCCCATCCAGCTTCGGGATGAACACGATCATTGTCGCGGAGGCTCCCAGCGCCTGCGGCCGCTCCTCGTACGCCGCAAGGAGGTCCAGGCAGCGGAGCTGAAGGGCACTCGGCAGGATCAGCAGCTGTCTAGGGTGTAGCTGGTCCGCTCCGAGCCCTGCAGATGGGGAATAGCGGCGGCACGTCGCCTGGAACATGTCGAGCGTGATGGGAGGCAAGGTCCAGTCCTGGACGTCCCAGGTGCAGACGTCGGCTCCTCCCTTGAAACCTTCCTGCTGCCAGAGGGCCTGCCAGTTGGCCTCGAGCTGACCAATAGCAATCATCCCTGCCAGCGGCATGCCCGTGTCTGGGTCGACGACCTGAGGAGGAGGAGGTACCGCTCTGGCAAAGCGGTGCGCCAACCTACCTCCTCGCTGGACGGCCTCCTTGGCCCACGCTCGCCACCGAGCGGAGCTGATGCCCCCGTCGCGCCGCTGCGAGCTGCAGAGCCGTCGCTGGAGCTCCGTGATGGCGCCGACGTGGCCGAGGACTCCTGCCTGGCCGACGAGGTCGATCCACCCGCTGGTGTCGAAGTCGAGCTGCTCCGCCTCATCCTCCTCGCGGGCCGCGGCCGAGGCGATCCCCAGGAGGCCCGAGATGCGCTCCGCCTCGCGCGAGTACCAGCTCTCGTGCGACTGCCGCCACCTCCCACTCCTATCGGCGGCCAGCCTCTGCAGAGCCAGATCGAGGGCCTGCCGCATGGCGTGGGTCAGCTCGGAGTGGCGGAAGCGGTACTCACGCTTCGCGACCGCGCTCATCGGCCTCAGGGCGCGCCTCGGCCCCGCGGCACGACCCAGGAAGCGCTTGTGTGCGTCAGGCTGGATGTCGTGGATGCCCACCAACGTGCCCTCGACCGCCTCGACCCACTCGCACACCGCAGCAGGGAGGTCGTGGGGCAACTCGCCTGCCTCCCAGCTCCAGGTGCACGGCTCAGCCTGCCACTGCACTCGACCGCTGCGCCGAAACACCTGCACGACGGCGTCCTCGTGGGCCCTGCAGTTGGCTGCCCCCACGTCAGGGAAGCGGCCAGGCCTCACTAGGACTTGCACCAGCGCATCTGGCCGCAGGTCCTGCAGCCGCAGTCGGACTGGCCTCTGCGGGTGCAATGCGTAGCCGTCCAGAACTGCGGTGTTGGCAACCCCGTGGGAGAGGCAGAACGAGCTCGCGAACCAGTCGTACGCCCGCTCCGTGCCAGACGCCATGCACGTGGGCTCGGCTGGCCCAAGGTAGGCACCTCGCTGAAGGGCTGGCCAGCCGAGCTCGTAGAGGGTCCCAGGCTCCATGTTGAAGTCGCCTTGCACGAGCCACGGGAGCCCCTCGGTCAGCACCAGGTCCCCCAGGCCGCCGATGATGTCCAGGTTGACCCCTTTGGGCCCTAGGCCGTCCTGCAGGTACAAGGAGCAAGCTAGAAGCTGCAAGCCCGAGGCTGCTGCTACCCTGACTGCGACCATGCGGTGCCTGAAGTCCCCTGGCACTCGCCACTGCGCCTCCCTCGCCTGGAGGTCCTCGCGGACAAGCACCCCGACGCCTCCTGAGTGGGCTAGGGCCGCCTGCCCAGTGGGCGCAGCTGCATGCAAGAAAGCCGCGTATCCCAAGCCGCGAGCACGGCGGCGCGCGTTCTCCAGCTGGCGAGGCCCAAGGCGGACCTCCTGAACTGTGACCAGGTGCGGGCGCTCGTCCTCCCGCGATATGTAGGCCTCGAGCACCTCCATGGCGCGGTCCCAAGTGTTGCCGTTGAGGCCCAGCACGGCGAAGCCTGCACGGAGCTGCGCTGCGGCCCTCTCGCCAGCTGGCTCGGCCCCGCCCACTCGCGCCTCAAGGGCGGCTGGAGTGAACCCAGCGGAGGCCCCTCCACTCCCTTGGGACGGGGCAGACGGCTGCGACGTCGGAGGGCTGAATCCTCCCGCCGCCTGCCCGCTCGAGGCCGTCGGGGGGACGCCGCAGCGGTCCCGACCGCACCTCGGCCCAGGAGCAGGGCCGCCTTCCCGCCGTGGCCCTCCCCGCGACCGCTGCAAGGTCGGCCAGTCAGACGGCGGAGGCGGCGGCACCGGGCCCCAGGCTGTCGCCGCTGCTGAGCTGCTAGGAGCGAGAAGGGCCCATAGGAGCGTAGCCCCCAGGAGCCGCCAGGGTAGCCACGGCCTGGCCGTCCTCGTGCTCGTCCCTGGCGTCCACCAGGATCTTACGCTCGGCCTGGCCAGGCTGGGGCCAAGCGCCGAGCGCTGCGCCCGACTGCCCGCGGGCGGCGGCTGGCCCGTAGGGCCCCACTGCAGGGCACGCCCTCTGGGTGGGCGGGCCTGGCCGCACCTGCTGGCCTGCGGCCTCCGCTGGCGGCTGCGGCTCCACGGAGCCGGTGGCCCCAGGGGCAGGGGCGGGGGGCCCTTCCTCGTCGACGTCGACGGCGAGCCCGTCCCCGCCGAGGCCGTCGGCCCAGCGGGCAGCAGCGGCGGCAGGCGCAGCAGGGCGGAGCATGTCCGAGATGGCGGCGCTCTGCGTGGTGATGATGTCCATGATCTCCAGGAGCCTGGGCGCAACGCCTTCCGAGTTACGGCCAAGCATCTCGCCCAACTGGCTGACCTGAGTGACGAGGCCTCCGACTGCGGTCTCGAGGGGACGCTTGCCACCGCACACCTCGATGGCCCGCTGGAGGGCCTGCTGGACCGTCTGCGCCTTCGACTCCTCGAGCTTGCTGAGCTGACAGTTGAAGTCCTCGACCGCAGACTCGACCTCGGCCAGCTCCTCCTGCTTCGCCGCGATCTCCCCCCTGAGGGCCTCCGCTCGCTGCACGGCCTGGTCGCGCTTGGCCCTGGTGGCGGTGATCTGCTTCTCGACCTTCTGCATGGCGTTGGCACCCCCGTGGAGGACAGCGTGGGGGGGCCTCCCGAGCTGCTGGGCCTCACGGAGCTCTGCCTCGGCCCTCTCAGCAGCGCGCTCCGCTGCGAGGAGGGCCGCCCTGGCCTCTCGCTGGAAGGCCTCGCTGGTCCCGCCCATGGCGACGGCCTCGCGGAGGCTGGAGACGCGCGCCTGGGCTCCCTCAAGCCTGCGCTCCAGGCTCGAAGCGGGCTCCTCTGGCTGCTCCTCACGCTCCTCACGCCACGGGGGGGGCTTGGTTCCGCCCCGAGGCCGCACCCTGCTGTTGGGTGCGCTGCTCGGGGCGGTGCTGGCAGCCGAGGCAGCCCTGGAGGCCTCGCCAGCTCGGCGCGCAGCACGCTGATGCGAGCGCCCCCTGGGCTGCAGGACGTAGCCCTCCCCGTCGGCCTGGGGCTGGGGCGCTGCACGCAGGCGCTTCGCCCACGCTGGCGCCTCCTTCCCGCAAGACTTGCAGGTCGCCCTCTTGTCGCACCAGTTCCACTCCTTGCACTGACAGACCCAGTACGCCCTGCGCCTCCACGGCGGTGGCGCTCCTGCACCGTCGCCCGACATGGCTGCTGGCCTCGCGCGCACCGCCTGCCGACCTCGCCTCGGAAGAAAGAAACAAGAAGCTGGCCCAAAGCGCGGCGTCCCTCGCGCTCGACGGCGCCCGATGGACTCGCGGTCGTCGGGATCGCCATGGCCTTGAGCCAAAATGGCTACGGATCGTCGTCGTCGTCGTCGTCGTCGTCGTCATCGACGTGGTCGTCGTCCGTCGTCGTTGTCGTCGTCCGTCGTCGTCGTCGTCGACGTCGTCGTCCGTCGTCGACGTCTTCGTCGTCGTCGTCCGCTGTCGACGTCTTCGTCGTCGTCGTCCGTCGTCTTCGTCGTCGTCGTCGTCCGTCAACATCGTCGTCGTCTGTCGTCGACGTCGTCGTCAATCGTCGCTATCGTCGTCGTCGTCGTCCGTCATCGTCGTCCCTCGTCGTCCGTTGTAATCGTCGTCAACGTCGTCGTCGTCCTTCGTGGTGCGCCGTCGTTGTTGTCGTCGTCGTCGCCATCCGTCGTCCTCGTCCTCGTCGTCGTCTTCGTCGTCTTCTTCGTCGTCCTTCTGGTCGGCGCAGTCGTCGTCGCGGACGACCGCGGCGAATGGGAGGAGGATGAGGAGGATGAGGAGGATCAGGAGGAGGAGGACTAGGAGGACGAGGAGGAGGAGGACGAGGAGGAGCAGGGGGAGCAGGACGAGGAGGAGGAGGAGGAGGAAGCGGAGGAAGCGGAGGAAAAGGAGGAGGAGGAGGAGGAGGACGAGGTCAAAACATTTTCTGCTTGAAGGGTGTAGTTCGCAACTTTTTGGCGGCCTCGTGGGCCCCCTCCGGCCCCCCAGGCAGCCCAGGATTGTCCGCCTTCTGTCGGGCTGCTCCCCCCCTCCTTTCTTGTGGAGGCAATCGGGCCGACGAAAACTATGTGTTTAATCGTCCGCCACAGAATTTGTTGTTTTATCGCTTGTTCCCATTATCCATAGATGCAGAGCCTGCGCCTTCTGAGAAGCAGCCTCCTCTTAAGAAGCTTTCACCCCTTCCTCCTACCCCCCCGCGTTCGTGCCCGGCCCCAGGCGGGGTGCAGTGCGGGCAGGTCCGAAAGCGGCCAGGGGTTCGGATTCGACAACATACACATATCGGCGGCGAGCGAGGGGGGGAAGCGAGAAGGAGAAGGCCCTCTCAGAAGGCGGCGGGGCTTCTCAGAAGCCCTCGCGCCTTATGATACATGTTCTGTGTCTTCGGGAAGGCTTTACAAACTTCTCAGAAGGCCGGGGGACTTCGGAGCCTTCTGCTAAGGCATTCTCCTTCTCTCAATTCCCCCCCTCGCCCGCCGCCGAACGTAGGAGTGACCCTGGGGTGGGCTAGGACGAGGATAAATCCATTCTAGACTCGAGCATCAAGGGGCGAAGAACGGTACACAATCAACTTTTCTGCCGTCGGGGACGTTTGCTCCCAGGGCGGCTGCAAAGCTTATATCCCTACGGTGCCACCTAGGGGTATAAACTGTGCAGCCGCCCGGTGGGCAGGCGTCTCCGACGGCGGAACAGTTTATTGTATACCGTTCTTCGCTCGGTAAGGGCACGCCGGAGCTCGGATGTACCGACGCTTTTTCACGGGCCCGTCCTGAATTTTGATAGTCTAGTTTTCGTGGGATGTTTGCAGTGGGGGCCCGCGTCGAGTCTTAGATTGGGTCGTCATTTTCCTGACGGCCCGGTCAGGCCAACCCGATTTCCCCGAACCCGAGTCTTACGTCTTCCCGGCATTCCGCCGACCCCCAGAACAGGCAAGAGATCCATGGGTGAGGTCTCTTGAGGAGACCGTTTGGGGCCTCTGGGGGCTTCTCTTTTCGGGGGTGGACAGAACCCCCAACAGTGACACGTCGATTAGTGAATTGTTCGTTTTCGGTTCTCGAGAGGGCGCCGTGGCCGTTATTTTCCAAGCTTGCGCCCGCCAGGTTTGGGCCTCAGGTCGTTTTCACTAAACCACTTTTACTGAAGGGGGGTCTGTCCATCCCCGATCTTTGGCCTTTTGGAAGCCCTTTGGGCCATTCTGGGAGGTTCCTGGGGCGCCCGCTGGCGGTCTCGGGGGTCTTCTTGGGGTGGAAGGCTCGACGTGTCAGCTCGGATGCAACGCCTGGGGGATGTAAATCAGCATCGGCGATGGTATCAGGGGAACCAAAAGTGACATAAGCATAAAAACTCGGAGGTCCGCGCTGGACCCCCCTCCCTGGCGCGCGGAGCGCGCCAGGGGCGGCGCCGGAGGCGCCGCCGGGGGGGCCCCAGCGCCGATCCGAGAAATCCGCGCGGACCTCCGAGTTTTTTTGTTTATGTCACTTTTTGTTCCCCTAGGTATGTCCGTGGTCGAACTCCGGCACAATCCCGTTGCGATCTCAGATACACGAGGCTTGACCGGCCGCTGGCGCCACCTCCGTCGCCGCCCCCTTGCGCGCTCAGCGCGCCAGGGAGGGAGTCCAGCGCCGATCCCAAACATCATGCGTATGCTGTTTCTTGTCTGTCTGATCGTTGAAGACAGCGACGCACAGAGGAGGGTCGGGGGAGGGGGGAAGGCTTCTTCGGAGCACCCGTGCTTCTCAGAAGGCGCGGGCTTTGTCTACAGATCTAGGGCCGGCGCCTTCTAAGAAGCAGCCTCCTCCTAAGAAGCCTTTCCCCGTGTGGATGATGGGCGCACGATGTTTTTCAACAGGCGATGGTAAGTGTTAGCGCCGGCCCGTGGGCTCTTGAGAAGCCCAACTGGCGCTTAAGCTCTCTCGCGACTCGGGCCGAAAACTACGGAGGTAGAAAAAAACACCAAAAACGTCGTAACGCTTCTGTTTCTGCACCTCCCAGGAGACTCTGCGTTCGTTGCTACTGCACTGTACGCAGCAACAACAACAGATTCCACCAACCAACCCCAACCAACCTCCATTAGACACGCTGGCACTTTACCGCGTGGTCGCGTTGCAGTATGCTCTGCAGCGAAGGCAGACTGTTCCGCCACGCTGCACGCACACTTGCGGCCTGCTTTGAATTGTCGCACAGAAGATTTGCGAAGGAATGAGACACAGATAGCTCACGCAACGCAAAATTGATGTGATGATACAGGAGAGGGTGGTACGGAACCGCCAACCACGCTGCATCATCAGTTTTCCTCGGGCGCCCTGCGCGAGGCTCCCAGGACCGCAATTCGTCTAAGAGGGAGGGGTGGGCATTCGCAAGTGTGAGTCTCTGTATGAATTCACCTCTGGCCCACTCCTTATGCACAGGAAACGCACACAGGCCAAACAGTGTACGCAACATGGCCGCCGGCCACGAGCGATGCACGTGAATGGGGTGACCACTCGAGTGGGACAGAGGAATGGCCAGGGCGGTATCTTTGAAGGCAGGGGAAGCGGACGCCCTGCCATAGTCACTATGGACCCAAAGCTGTAGCCAATGGGTATCTCTATGCCCTATCTCGTCCAGGACCATACGAAAGTAGACTGCGCGCCCCTGGATGAGCCGAAAAAAATTCAAAAACAGTTCGTACTTAGTGCATCCTACCAGTATGTCGTCTTTGAACCTCATGTACACCCACACTTGAAAATCTCTGATGAGCGAGGCCTGGGAGAAGAACTTTTCCGTCAGATTGGTGAGGCAAGCGTCGGCGACGTCGCCGCTGTGGATCAACCCCATCCCCGACCCCTTGATGACCTGATGACGGGTGGCGGGGTCGTGAGGGCTGACCACGAATTGACAGCTGAGTAGCAGAAGTAGAGCGCGTTGGACCAGAAGCTTGAAATCGCCGTGCAAGTGCAAGCACGCGTCCCGCGCCAGCTCCTCCGCCGTGCCACTCATGAAGAACTCCTTCAAATCTACCTTTGCCCAGCGCATGTTCCTAGGGAACGCGCGTGTCCTGAGACGTCTTGCTGCGTCCCTGGCGTCGCGTACAATCCACGGGATCGTGTCCAAATACCTGCGCAGGACTCTGGAAACCCACCGGGACAGGCCTGCGAACGAGTACTTGGGCTGAGTATGAAGTGCTCGAAAAGTTACTGGCTGCTTATGAGTCTTGCATCTTTTCTGGAGTAAGGCTGTTATGCTGGCTCCCGGGACGTGCATGCTGCGCTTGATCTGGAAAGCAAGCGACTCATCGTCCTCGTGCCGCCCAACAGCTTGAGCGACGTCACTGTACCACTCCATAATGCCAGTGAATTGTATTGGCTGGGTGACCTCCTCGTAGTTACCATTCTGCAAAATGCGCTGATCGATGAGACGATCATGGCAACGGTGCACAAGTGTGAACCCCACTTCCTTGTCGTTTGGTATCGCGACGTAAGGCGACTGCGACATCAAGCGTAATGCCCATTTTGTGAGCGGCGACACATTGGTCGGTCGGATCCTGTGCACCCAGCGTCGCCTGCAATTCTTGAAAGCAGTTGCCACCACCGACTTCAAATCGGAGACCCAGCAGTTGATGTGCACTGGGACGAAATGAGGACACGGTGGCGTTACGACGCCAGGAATTCTGATGTGCGCAGTCCGTGGGGAGCCGAGAAAATGCCAACGCCATTTCAACTTATTTGCAAACTGGTTCACGTCTGCAGCCAAAGACTGGTAATCCGGCAACTTTCTTGTGAAGAAGATGTGTTTTGGATTGTGACAAGCCAGCAGCCACACTATCGGCCACGGGACACATGCAGAGCTCCTAAGTGAGCTCGATTCGTAATCGAAGACACGCACTCGTTCAGACAGTCTTGAATATTGCAACATCTGGGTCCACAAACCCACATTGGAGCCAGAACACAATTGCAATAACAACCGAAGATGAGCGCCGCGGTCTCTGGCATCCTTCACTGCCACTTTTTTGCTCTTCCTCCAAACCCTTTGCCTTTCGAGTCTTTGCCCTTTCCTTTGCCTTTTCCTTTTTTGGTCCGTTCCAACGGCCACGTTGCCCCCTTCGGGATCCAGTGCCACTGTCCGGACTTCGGTGCGTTGTAGCTGGTCTTGCCCTTGTCTTTGCCCTTGTTCTGGCTGCTCTTGCCCTTGCCTTTGCCTTTGTCCTCGCTGCTCTTGCCCTTGCTTTTGTCT